TCCGTGGAAAGATTTTAAATCTTATGATAGTCTTCAACTGAATGTTTTTTAGCTGTACATTTAACAATGGCGTTCAGTCTTAATACTTACCATCTACATGGAGTGAACTACTGCGTAAATTACTGCTGGCTCTGACTCCTGAAGCTAATGTGAAGTCCAATCCACAAGCGGCCATATAAGTGCAACCGACGACCTTAATTTTCTCAACAACATAATATTCTTTGTAGACCGACAACTCCAAATCGAAAAAACTCATGAAGGATGTTTACAAGATGTTAATATATATTTTGTCTTACCAGTTTGTCAAACTCTGTAATGATATCGTTAAGAATTCTTAGGCTGGGCAAATTCATTTGGAAATTTACAAGCATGGCAAACATAACTGAAACCATTTGATAATTTTCGTAATACAGCTCATGGTGAGCTATGGAATCAAGATACAGGTCGACTAAAGGAAGGAAAGAAAACACTTGTAAGCCAATTATTATGGATTAATATTAAGCAAACTTACCAACATGAGAAGGCAGAATGTTGTTAAGCAGAATTATGATGGATTGGTTTGTAACATCAGCTGCTTTTTGTTTTTTCTGCAAGTCTACGTTAAGCCTGTGGATAACACTAGTTTAATAAACATTTTCTTGAGTACAACTGTCATCCTTTTACTCACTTGTAGTTAATTTTTGTGTTGAACTCCGTCTGACGTTCCTTTGCATACATAGTGAGCAGCATCATGCAAACCCGAAAACAATGAGCTACTTCCGCTTGCAAAAACGGAGAAGTGGTGGCGCTGTGCCGGAAAATGAATGCGTACTGGAAAAACACGATCAGCAGGTAGGCCAAGGTTTCGCAACCACTGACTACTATCTTCAGTACGAACGGAATTCGTGCAAAGGTGTAGCTCATGCCGATTATCAAAGAAATCATGTTCGTAAATGCCCACGGATGAAAGCAGAAATCCCGATTCATTTCATAGTGGAATAGCTTGCTGTGAATAACACTCAGCTCAAACTGGTCGCGGTCGCAGTTTATCTAATTATTGGGAAAGATAAGTAACTTCGTATATAAATAATGATTTCTATGACAGAGGCTTCATGAGGTGTAAATTAATTGAACTGAGTTCTTATAAGCATTTTCTGTTTAAGGCATTATAACAGAAATTAATACCAAAGCCATTTCTTACCATTATTAAAGAGATCACCGAGACGTAGCATATAATGATCAGCAAGTAGGCGGTAATGCGCAGAGTCACACTGTACTGAAGCTTCTCGAACAGGTGGAACACCGTGCAGCTGAATTTGCCGTAAACTTTGGATTCCCTGTGTCTATCCTTCCACCAACACACTTTCTTATACCAGGCGATACACAACATGGCAGTCAGCAAGAGAAATGTGAGTAGATCCACCACAATGCAGGCCTCGCAGACAAAGCTGTTGTCCACCACCTGCATGTAGATGAGACAGCAGCAAATTCCCCAGGCCAACAGCATCGAGGCCTTGAAAATGAAGTCGGGCTGCTGTAGGTAACTCCTTTCCAGAGAAGAGTCTTTAAACGCCACACAGAACGTGCCCAAATTGCGTTCGACGCTTTCATCCTCGTTAACACCACGGCGACAGCAAAGCTTTCGAAAGCTGAGAACAGATTTGAATCAATGTTTTTTTTTAAATTGTAATGGATTAAGAAATAGGAAAATTACAATACCCCTTCATAAATCTATTTAAAACCGCTTTAAAGGGAAAAGTGATTAAAGTAAATAAAGTAAGAAATAATTGTTGATCAACTTATATAGCTTACTTGAAGCCACCGACTGGCATTTTTCGGAACTCCTCACGAAGCTCATCCGACATTGAGGAAGGAGCGGCCGTTTGTTCCCGTTGTATCTCTATATACGTGATATCAAGGTTCGATTCCGACAAGACGGTTTGAATGGAACCTCGGGATACAGTTCCAGTGATAAGATATGTGCTCATCGACTTCAGCAGGTTGTCCTTTCGAGCCATTTCAGTGCCTGGATATATCACATAGTCAGCAATATTCAAGTAGGCAAGAGTGCGCCCACTAACGTGGACCTGACCCGCCTTTCCTGTGGCCTCTAAACGACTGGCGATGTCAACATCAGCACCTTGAAATGTGAATAATACATAGGAATAGAATACGATTTCGTAACAGATTATGGGATAGTCGCACCCCAAATATCGAGCTGCAGCTTCGCTTCGCCGATCACACCTGCAATTAAAGAACCTGAGTGGACTCCTATGCGCATATCGATATCCAATCCGCTTTCCGTCCTGAAAACCCAAAGCACTTTTCAGTGATCTACTATATTTTGTTATAAGGTATGAAACATACCTCACCTCCTGGATGTTCGCAATCATTGATATGCCCAACGACACCGCCATCTTGGCGTGATCAGGATCTGGTGTCGTTAATCCTGCCACACAATAATAGCAGTCGCCTAGGAATTTAATACGCTGCACCTTGAAGTGGGAGGCTGCCATGTCGAATCTTCCGTAGAGGTCGTGCAGGACTCTCACCAGACTCTGAACTGTCAAGGTTGTGGTCAAGTGGGTGTAGTTGACCACGTCCGCGTACAGGATACTGACATCGGGATGAATCTGGATGGGCATAAAGGTGTCACTCTTACGCCGGCGACCCATGGAGAAGCGTTCGGGCGCATTTTCCGACTGCCTGATCTTGCTTTTGATGCTGTCCTGGATGGGCTTTGCGATCTGGGGCGGCAGGATGGTGTCCAGGAGCATCGATTCCTGGAGCAGGGCGTTCCGCAACCACACTTCCTCCTTGATGAACTGGTGGCGATCGAGGAAGGAGGCGCGCACCAAGATGTCGTTCATAATCCGGAAGAAGATGCCCATCATGTTGAAGCCCACATTGTGCAGTATATCAGCGGCTAGATTCTCGTAGCCACTGGTTTCGCGCTCAAACGAAGGGTGTTTGATCAAGTTGCGTACGAAGTAGCCCACGTAAATAAGGCTTACTGAGGTGGCCAACAAAGCAGCTCCCGTAATTGACGGAATTGGCAGAAACATGTAAATCATGCAAAGCACAAACACGTCAAATGAGGTATTTAGAGGCCAGTGGGAATTGTTCTTGTGATATTGGACATATGCTATGTCTGGAGAAAAACAGCATTCAGCATAGAGTATGCCGATAATACCACTATTATTTCTGAGACTCACCATTAAATGTCACGGCATAAGCCGCCAAAACTGAGGTGAGAACCATTACCCACCGGTGGCGCGTTACGAAACTTTCGAAGAAGTTGACACTTAATATTGAACACACCATAACCAGATGACTAGCAGCAGAAACTGTATTTATGGACATTAAACTTGTATTCTGCGAAAAAAATATTTCTAAAAATGTTAATTTGTTAAACTGAGAGGTCTCACCTCGACACAAAGCCACGCGATTAACTCCATACCCAGTGTCACCAGTATAAACAGGGGGTAGAATACGGTGAGAGAGCTTATCATCAGACGGATCTGATATCTCCTGTACTCCTCCTCCAAATTCAGCTCTTTGCATTTTGCCTATTTGTGGTTTATTTAGATTTTGTAAGTGATAAATTTGACGAATTTCCTACCTCCAAGTAGCTTTGCTCCCAGACGCGCTCGTTGGAATAGTCGAGATGGCACCGCCTAGGTTTCTTCAAGTATTCCCGTTTGTAGAATGTCTTACTGTTCATATTGAATAGATGTTTTTTATCGGTTGTATAGTCTTGAACGTCCGATGCTCACAAGGGCTGAGCCTGCTTTGCCTCAACATTTTTGTAAACCTTTGAATATTATTTTTCTATGGTTGCTAAATTGAAAGAAATTCAACATTTATATTAAACAAGTTATTGTAATCTTGGCAAGGTATTGTAATTAGATTATTCCGTTATAAGGTAAATTCCAGCCTAAGTGCTAGAAAAAATCATCGAAGGAGTCTACGCACAACCGCACTCCAGGACTCCTCTAAATACTACGTACCAGCTCGTGGCGTTGCCCATATCCTGACCTAGCACCTTTCAGATCCCAGCGATACAAATCCACAACACAATTGACTTGTCCGGCGTTCGAAGTCTCGACTTTGCGGTCGTGATCCTGCTGAACCGTCCTTTTGCTTTGACTTCAATTGGCTTTCACACGCGTTGATACTCGTTTATATAATTGTTTAAGTTATATGTATATGTAGTTTCATTTGACCTTCCTTGACAAAACCGTCCTCCGTGGCTATGCCAACCTAACGGTTGGTTGGATGGCGTTACGCCCTCTTAATAACATGCGCTAGATCCGTTATTCTTTTCCGTGTAATTGGGTTCAAGGTCCAACGATGTCCCGTTAGTTCACGGCGCATTCTCTTTGTGCGAATCCAAAGTCCGTCAATTTACTGTTCGACCTGAATGGCACCGTTATTTCGCGGTCTCCGCTCTGCGCCAGTCCAAGTTTCAAAATTTCCCGTTCTCCCTTGTTGACTTTGACCTCTTCGGCATTCCAGTCTCCCTCGTTGTTGCTAAGCTCTACTCACCTGCACCTCAAATTGTGGGGATTTTAAAACTCCTCACAACCACCATCAACTTCTCAACAATTAGTGTGGAGGACAGTTGGAGGTAGTTGACCACATCTGCGCTTCTCTTTGATATATGATACTGATGATTCAGAAAGGACGATCATAAAGTGAACCGTGTTGTTCATTATTATTATTAGGGGGGAAAGGTTACCTCGACCCAACTGGATCTATTGTACCCCTATCTGAGCTTAGAGCTTACCCATCAACCCGGCTCCTTTGATAAGGTTAAGGAGCTTTATCGGGTCGATGCTTCCAGAGGTCCCAAGTGTAAGGAACCTGGACCCGAGGGTTCTGCTCCTCAGGCTACTTAGTGCTGGGTAATCTGATATTATGTGTAGGGAGGTTTCATCCTCGCTATCACAGAATCTGCATGTTTTACTGTTTGTAATCCCTATATTGTAGCAGGATGGCTACGTAGATATATATGTATGTATGTGTAAATGGTTATATTATTTGTAAGTGCGCATTATTGTAAAGTAGCTTTAAGTATAACGGGGAAGATCGTGTGTATTAATAAGAAATAGCATATGCAGCTGCATGTTTTCTGTGATCTGGCTCTCACTCTCTTGCGCTCTTGCCTCTCGCTAAAACGAGGGTTGATTGGGATCGCAAGAGTCGAGAGGAGTTCAGTCGAACACCAGGAGTTGAGCCATCGAGAACTTAAAAAGTAAAATAAAGAATATTAAAATTGAACTTGACTGTGTTGGTGTTTTACTGGGATATACATTCACATCCCTACAAAATCAGAAGTGGGCCGATCACGAGCTAATATTAAAGAGAAAAACATTAAATAAAATAAAAAAATGAATTTTGACAATACATCAATTGCACAACTAAAAAAGTGGTTAAGTGTATTAGACTTGCCAACAACGGGTTCAAAGCGAGAACTTATTTTGCGTTTAAATAATTCGCAAAAAGAAATGCAAAAGAAATTTGAAAGTTTGAAAAATGGAGAAGATGGAAACGAAGATAATGAGAATGATGGTGAAATCGAAAATACAGAGGACAGTTACGAAGAAGCTGACGAAGATGGAGATGGTGCAAATTTCAAGGAAAAAGACGGAGAAGAAGACGAAGATGGCGATAACAACGGCAGAAAAGGCGGAGAAGAAGACGAAGATGGCGATAACAACGGCAGAAAAGGCGGAGAAGAAGACGAAGATGGCGATAACAACGGCAGAAAAGGCGGCGAAGAAGACGAAGACGGCGATAATAACGATGGAAAAGGCGGCAAAATTTACGAAGACGGCGACAACGGAGAACTTGGAGAAGAGAAGGAGATAAAGAATTCCAGTCAGATTTTAGACATTTCGTTGCGAATGGCAACAGAAGTTTTAAACGAATTTTCGGGAGAAACCTGTGCTCGAAAATGGATTACGCAGATGTTTAATATTGGAAGTATTTATGGTGTTAGTGGACAATACATAAAAATGCTTATGATTAGCAAAATTAAAGGCAAAGCTAAGTTATGGCTGCATGCAAATCCTGGACGCATACTATTACCGATGGAGGACCTGATTGATGACCTGATCGGAATGTTTGGCGAGAAAGCATCCAAGTTAGAAACAAGGCGCAAATTTGAAGAACGGAAGTGGAGTGCTGGAGAAAGTTTTGGAAGTTATGTTGATGACAAGGTGATGCTGGCTCAGGGCATAAATGTAGACGCTGAAGAACTACTGAGCGTAGTCATCGAGGGCATTCCCAACATAGGGCTGCGTATTCAGGCACAAATTCAATGCTTTGACGATGTTAAGCAGTTGAAACGTGCATTTGCTGATGTTGGATTACCCAAACCGTACGGAGCTAAGAAGGAGGCGACTTCGTTGCAGAGCAAGGACGACAATATTATGCGCTGCTTTAACTGCAACGCTAGAGGACACTGGGCGAAGGACTGCAGGAAACCAAAGCGGGAGAAAGGATCGTGCTACGCATGCGGTGAGATGGGGCACTTTGTGGCGCAGTGCCTGAAGAACAAAACTAAAGGTGTGGGCGACAACAATTATGTAAGAAATTTTTGAAATTAATTTTATGAATAGTTCTAATAGTAAATTGAGTACAGAATGCCTCATAGATACAGGAAGCCCAATTTCGTTTATCAAAATTTCAAAAGTACCGAAAGATGTTTGCAAGTTACCAGTTTTAAGTTTATATCATGGATTAAACAAAAGTTATTTGGAAACGTATGGAAAAATATTATGTTATGTCTTAAAGAATTTAAATAAAATACATTTTCATTTGGTTATTGTGGCAAACAAATCTATGAGTCATGATGTAATCCTAGGTAGAGATTTTATGGAAGCATGCGATTTAAAATTGAATCTGGACACTTTGAAAATGGTTACGTTGGAGAAAGTTGAAAAGCAGATAGTTAGTAATGTTAGAAATAAAAGTCAGATAGTTAGTGATGTTAGTAGTAAAAATCAGATAGTTAGAAATAATTTAAGTAAAATTGGAGAAGAAAATTATTTAGTTAGTGATGTTAGAAGAATTATGAATGGGGAAAACGTTAGTAATCAAAATTACACTATGGACGAGATTATGTTAGAAAATACTAAGGAATTGGAAATAAATATAGTGGAAAAGGAATTATTTAATATTAATATAGAAGATAAATCTATTGAATATGAAATTGGAAATCAAGTGGACTATAATGTTAGGCGACATTTTATCAAAATGGTAGAACGTTGTTATGTAAATAAAGAAAGGCCAAAGGAACCAGAGATTAGATGTGAAATAAAACTGAGGTTGGAAGATTCGAAACCCTTTAGTTGTTCGCCCAGACGATTAGCTTACACAGAAAAAGAAAAATTGCAGATCATATTAGATGAATATTTAGAGAAAGGAATTATTAGACCCAGTGAATCGGAGTATGCATCTCCAATAGTGTTAGTGAAAAAGAAATCAGGAGATCAAGGTTATGTGTGGATTATAGGAAGCTTAATAAGACAATGATTAAAGATAATTATCCTCTACCGTTAATAGATGATTTATTAGATAAGTTAGTAAATAAAAAAATATTTTCAAAATTAGATCTTAAGCATGGATACTTTCATGTGTTTGTTGAAAAGGAATCAATTAAATACACCTCATTTATGACGCCGTTAGGACAATTTGAGTTTATGCGGATGCCAATGGGGCTTAAAAAATGCCCCGGCGGTTTTTCAAAGGTTTATCAATAAAATATTTGCAGATATGATAAGGGAAGACAAGGTAGTTATTTATATGGACGACATTATGATTGCGAGTAAAGAAATACAGGAACATTTGGATGTACTACAGGAGGTTTTTGACAGATTAGCAAGGAACAAACCAGAGTTAAGAATGGATAAGTGTGAATTTTTGCAAGAAAGTAAAGAATATTTAGGCTTTGTAGTAACGGGCAAAGGAATAAAGGCTAATGACAAGGGAATAGATGCTATTAGAGATTTTCCAGTTCCTGTTAAGGTACATGGAGTTAGAAGTTTTCTCGGATTGTGTTCGTATTTTAGAAGATTTATTAAGGGGCACAACTAGTGTGAAGTTTTAAAAAAATTAAAAAATTTTTTTTCATATTTCGGTAGAAAACACCTTTAAAAATAACATATTAAAATTTAAAATCGATATCTCAAATAGTTTTTGAGTTATAACAATTTAAAGAGCAGCCGCTCTCATAACAGTGCAAGCGATCATTTTATCTTTAAGCGCGTTTTTCTCGAAACAACATTTTACAAATTTGCTGCAGTGATAACTCAAAAACTAGTGATCCGATCACTACCAAATTTTTTTACATGTTCTTTATATAGTTTTACGTACCATGAACTATCGGTTTTTTGTTCCGATCAAAAATCGAATTTTGGCAGGCCAAAAACGACCAAAATTTTGGCTAAAATTCGATTTTTTTTTTTTTTTTAACGCTGCCATTTTGTCATTTTTTGATATTTTTTTTTATTGTAGTTCATGGTATGGAAAATATTATCTAGTTTAACGAGAATTTTTCATTTTTTGATTTTGTCCACGGAGAGGGCCGGAATCACTGCAGCAGTTAAGGCACTTTTTTTTTAGCGCCGTTGGAGATCGACTATAACTTAAAAAATATTTCACTTTTTTCTTTAAAAATTTCACTATACATTCTTAAAACATGTATAAATATATTCTGAAAATTTGAAAAGAATTGATCAAGTAGTTTTTTTTATAAAAATTCCCAAAAATCACCATTTTTTTAGGCCGTCACACTAGTTGTGCCCCTTAAGGACTTTTCGACGATCGCCAAACCTTTGTATGATTTATTGAAGAAAGACAAAGAATTTAGTTTTGAAGACAAGGAGTTACAATGTTTTGAGATCCTTAAGAAAAAGTTAGTCGAAGCACCAGTGTTAGGTTTGTATTATTATAAAGATGATATAGAGTTGCATACAGATGCAAGTGCACAAGGATTTGGGGCAGTATTATTACAAAGGAAAGAGGATAAAAAGCTGCATCCTATATTTTATTTTTCGAAAGCTACAACAAAGGACGAGGCGAAATATCATAGTTTTGAGTTGGAAACGTTAGCCATAATATACGCGCTAAGAAGATTTAGAATTTACGTACAAGGCAAACGTTTTAAAATTGTTACGGATTGTAATTCATTGACATTAACGTTAAATAGAATAGAATTAAACCCCCGTATTGCCAGGTGGGCATTAGAACTGCTTGAATACGATTTTGAATTAATACATAAGGCGGGCAAGCATATGCAGCATGTAGATGCGTTAAGTAGGAACACAAATATTCTAATAGTAGAAACAAATAGTTTCGAAGACAATTTAGTTATATGTCAAGCAAAAGATGAGAAATTAAAAGAAGTTAGAAAAAGATTAGAAAAAGCTGAAGACAAGATGTTCGAGATGAGAAATGGGGTAGTTTATAGGAAAGCAAATGATGGAAGATTACTGTTTTGTGTGCCACGAGAGATGGAAGAAAAAGTTTTGTACAAATACCATAATGAATTAGGTCACTTAGGAAGAGATAAAGTAATGGATGCAATTGTTAGAACGTATTGGTTTTCGAATATAAAAGAAAAAGTTGTTAGGCATATAGATAATTGTTTAAGATGTGTAGCGTTTTCACCAAAGTCTGGGAAAGGAGAAGGATTCCTTCACAGCATTCCAAAAGGAAATGTACCATTTGAAATAATACACATTGATCATTACGGTCCTGTGGACTCTGGAAGGTTAAAGAAACATCTTTTTGTAGTTATAGATGGATTTACTAAATATGTTAGGTTATATCCAACAAAGACGACGAATACGAAAGAAGTTATTGTAGCGTTAAAGGATTATTTTAGATCATACAGCAGGCCAGTATGTATTGTGTCGGATAGGGGAAGTTGTTTTACATCAGAGGATTTTACAAAGTTTTTAGAAGAGTACAATATTAAACATGTAAAAATTGCGACTGGTTCCCCTCAAGCAAATGGACAGGTGGAAAGAGTTAATAGAATATTAGGACCAATGCACAGTGGTCGGTCTTATATGGAGAAGGCGGCCAAAAATACTTCCAGTAGGAATATCGAGTTGAAATTTTTTTTGTAGGTATATAATAGCGTGTGAATGTTATATTTTAAGTATCAGCACCATCAAAGCCAAATATATCCGCTACCATCGTGTTTACCATAAAATGTTCAAAATTTGACTCCCAAATGCATACTACACTTTTTTTAAGCGTAACTGACAAAAATTATATTTATTAAACACTTAATTTTGGTTAAAAAATTAACAAAAGATAACAAAAAACGATGATTAACATAAATTTAAAGTAATATAAAAGTAATAAAAAATAAATTTTGCAATATATATTAAAAATGGCTACTCTAGAAAATCAAAAACTGATGAAAAAGGAACGAGGTACTCGTCTTCTTTAACAGATTCTGAACGGATTCGCAGCTATTCGCAGCTGATTTTTACAGATAATACTAATTAAATATTGATTAACATTTAAAAAAAAATTTCATTATTGAGAAGTTTTGGGAACACAACTTTTACCTTTGCAGAATATTGATGTTTAGTTCTGCAGAACTTGTAAAATTGCGGTGGATAAACAATTATTGTCACAGTCACATATAGCATGCAAAATTAATAAAAATTATAAAAACACAATCTACAAACCTTCAACTTTAATGTTCATTTCACTTTCGGATATTAAACGATTGTTTTATATTTTTTTTTAATTATTAACTTAACGCTTTCAAAAGACATGCGCACGCTTTCAGTCAATCGCTGGGTTTGCGCGCTCACTTTGCGCCCCAATTTCTCCGCAAATATGTGGAGCAAGACAAAACTAATACTTGCTTTTAAAGCCTTGTTCTATTGATAAACAGATGCGCCAAACTTGAAATCAAAATTCCAAAATTGATTTTTTGATTTTTGGCCTATGGGACCGACCACTGTGCAATGATAGCAAAATTAGCGGATAATGAAAAGGGACTACACTGGGATACAGTTATTGAAGACGTTGAATTTTCGTTGAATAACACAAAACAAAGAAGTATTGCACAAATTCCAAGTAGAATGTTGTTTGGTATTGAACAGAAGGGAAAGATTATCGACGAATTAAGACAGAAGTTAGAAGAGTTAGATACAGTTAGAGACGTTATTGAAGTTAGGCAACTAGACGATATTAGGAAAAAGGGATCAGAAGCGCAAAGGAAAGTACAAAATGACAACGAAAGAAGATATAATGAAAAGAAAAATATGAGTTCAGAGTACAAAGTTGGAGATTATATTATGGTCAAGAACTTTGATTGTTCAGTTGGAGTAGCAAGGAAGTTAATACCAAAGCACAAAGGTCCATATGTTATAGATAAAGTCTTAAGAAATGATAGATATTTAATTAAAGATGTCGAAGGATTTCAATTATCACGAAAGCCATATCAAGGTGTCTGGAGTAGTCAAAATATTAAACATTGGATAGGAAAGCGATAATGTAACTTAATTTATTGTAATTAATTGTAAAATAACATAAGATCAGGGGATCTTAAAGGGTCAGGACGGCCGAATTTTAGCAGGATGGCTACGTAGATATATATGTATGTATGTGTAAATGGTTATATTATTTGTAAGTGCGCATTATTGTAAAGTAGCTTTAAGTATAACGGGGAAGATCGTGTGTATTAATAAGAAATAGCATATGCAGCTGCATGTTTTCTGTGATCTGGCTCTCACTCTCTTGCGCTCTTGCCTCTCGCTAAAACGAGGGTTGATTGGGATCGCAAGAGTCGAGAGGAGTTCAGTCGAACACCAGGAGTTGAGCCATCGAGAACTTAAAAAGTAAAATAAAGAATATTAAAAGTGAACTTGACTGTGTTGGTGTTTTACTGGGATATACATTCACATCCCTACAATATTAAATAGGTGTCTCCTTAGTTTGCAGTGTCCGGTTAGTAAGCCGGTAACTATCCTAAGTGAACTCTTCCCTAGTTGTATTTAAACCTCTTCATGTCATAATTGACGATGAGGGTTTTGGCTTGTCTTTGGCCTGTGGTGTTTTCCCAGCAGGCTTGCTCATATGTACCTCTTCTGTTCTTAGGTAATCTTTGACTGTGTGTCTGCCTATGCCACAGTAAGGCTCGGGTCCTATAAGGGGTCGTTCCGCCCCTAGTTTTGCCAGCCTGTCGGCTAGTTCATTCCCGGATATGTCTTTGTGTCCTGGAATGTTGCTGCTGCCCAGAAGGTTCAGCTTTGTTCTTACTTCTCGAACCAGCTTCGAGGTGATTCTATTGCATAGTGCAGTAATTGCCGCTCGACTGTCCGAGAGGATCGCAATGTCCTTGTTTGTGTACCCACGCTTCATATTGAGCTCTGCACACCGTCCTATGGCGCAAACTTCAGCTTGGAATATGCTGGTGTATTGGCCTAACGATTCATGGTATTTGATTCGTGGTCCTACTACTCCAAGGCCAGTGCCTTGGTGTGTTAAAGAACCGTCCGTATACCATGCTATATTGTGACTCGCCATGGAGTGTACTTGACATGATGAGCAGAGAAATTCTTTTCAAAGATGAATTCTACTGTTATTTCGTCCCTGGGGTGTGAGCTCAGGGAAGGTTCGACTAGTAGTTTTGCTGCATCCCTTGAACTGAGGATGCGGTCACTGCCATTACCACAAGAAGTGATTCTTAGTAGGGTGGCCTTCCGCTGTAACTCTACTACGCAGTGTAGCGGAGTGAGTTCCATGAGAACTTCCAGTGCCGGTCTTTGCAGCCTTTGGAGCTGTGCCTTGCTCGTTTACCCCAGGCTACTGACCCATATGTGAGTATTGGCCTCACAATTACAAGGTATAACTATCTGATAATTTGGGGTGAGGTCACCCAAGATTTTCCTCCAATTTTCCGACAGGTGAAGAGAGCCCTGAGGCACTTATACACTGTCTTTTGCATATGGGTTGCAAACGTTAGCCTCCTGTCGAAGGTAACTCCAAGCTACTTAACTTCCCGGCTTATTGCTAAGGGAGTACCTAGTAGGATGATTTGTCTCATCTTCTTTAGTTGTTCATTAGACGATAAAAAATGCCCACCTGGTTGAGGTTCGGAGAACCCTTCGGCCAAAAAGTGGATGGACTAAATTTTATACATGAGAGCCTAAATGACTACTCCTTTGATTAAGTGAATTGGCAGGAACGTGCACACATGTATAATATGAACGTGCCATATTAAGTGCTCAGTAGCCAATTGTGTCCAAAATGGCGGAATATAAGGTCTTAGTAAATATTTAGACATTATCAGAAAATAAAATTAATACAATTATTACAATCAAAAGAACAATGCGGCAACTTGTGACAAGTGACACAACGCAATCGACAATTTTACTGTCCTTTTTTATACCCTTGCACAGCAAAAGGGTATTATAATTTTAGTATATATAAAGTATATATGTATATTCTTGATCAGCATCACGATCTCAGGGGCGGACGCAGGGGGTGTCCGGGGGTCTGGACCCCCCAAAATCTCTGACTTTTTCAAATTTCCTTACAGCACACGGCTTTTCAACCATAAAAACTAAAATTTTTTTGGTCGGACCCCCCAAATGAACAAATTTTTTGATCGGACCCCCCAAACGTAAAAATTTTTGATCGGACCCCCCCAAACAACAAAAATTTTTCGATCGGACCCCCCCCAAAATTTTTTTCTGCGTCCGTCCCTGCACGATCTGAATCGAAATACGTCTGCACGTCTGTCCGTCTGTCTGTTTCTATATAAACTCAGTTTTGTGTCTTGTCTTGTCTTGTCTCTCAGTTTTAAAGCTACCTAGCTGAAACTTTCCCGAAAGTTGTGTAGTTATTGCACACAGTATATGTATACATAAGTCGGAACGGGCCGGATCGGCCGACTATATCGGATAGCTCCCCCACGAGAGAATGAAAAAAAAAAATCCTCACGACGTTGTTTTTGATCAGATCGACTTGATTTCTTCCATATGGCGTTTTCTAACCACTCTTGAATTTCGGATTAAATTTTATCATAATCGTGTTAACTCTATCATATAGCTGCCATAAAAAGATCGAAAAAAAATATATATAATGGGAAAAAAGTTGTAACATCCTTGTTTTTAATCCCACGAGCATAATAACCCTTAAGCAGGAAAAAAAATTTCATTAAAATCAGACAAAGTTATCTTATACATAGCTGACATAAGAAAGATCGAAAAACTTATATAGAAATAACGGAAATAAAATTATAACATCATTGTTTTTTATCAGACAAGCATGATTTTAGGAATATAGAGCTTTGTAATGACTCTTGAATTACGAATTAAATTTCATCAAAATCGGACGACTATATCATATAGCCGTCATATATACATAGAAAAATCGTCAAAGCTTTGATGCTGTTTAGCCTTTATGTGTTTTGCTAGACATATTTGATGACTGCAATGGTAAATAAGCTTTTGTTCGCTGAAGCTAGCTTCCTTTCTTGTTTTTCGATATTTTATCTATCTCTCCTATGAGAGCTATTCAATAACGTCTTCCGATCCGATATACTGCAAAACTTTTGATAAGTAATTTCGAGGAACCTATAAAACTAGTTCGTATAAGAACAGACAGACTAAATACCCCGATTTTTATTACATTGGTCGGCCGCCCAAAATTTCAAGTTCTTTTGTAGAAAATATATATTTTAATGAACATTCAAGAAACTACTGACTCTCATCTTCCTCACTGGTAGGAGTTGCATATGGTTCCAGTGAAGACATTACTGAAAAACGTCTCGTTGAGGCTCGGTCGACGAGTCTCGCGGAAATGAACTTCAAGTTTTCATCGATTCCCACAAAGTAAGTGGGGATGTTTCCGCGACCCTTAACGAAGGTCAAGCCACGGTAAGTGCAGTGGATGTCGAACTCCTGGAGGACCTTGGCGGACTCCTCGGTAACCTGGATGTGACCTGGCAGACCGGTTGATTCCATTCGAGAGGCCATGTTGACCGGGTTCCCCCAGATGTCGTAATGAGGCTGCGAGGCACCCACTACTCCGGCCATTATCTCTCCGCTGGAAATCCCGATGCAGATCTCTCCACTCGCCAAATCCCGGTCGAAGTGGAAATCCGAGTAGGCCTTGTTGCACACCGACAGGGTTCGCATCAGGTCCAGGGCGAACGAGGTCATAATGAAGACCACCTCATCGTGATTGGACTCGGTCTCTTTGTTATCGGTGGACGATCTCTGGTTTAGAACCCTCTCCACTGGAAAAAAATTAAATCAGGTATTGTTATATAAATACTACTAAGATGTGTAATTCGTGAAAATATTTATGTAATATATATGTATATTATTATCTTCATAGTTTTCTAGGCACAAATTTTGTTCCGTGGAAAGATTTTAAATCTTATGATAGTCTTCAACTGAATGTTTTTTAGCTGTACATTTAACAATGGCGTTCAGTCTTAATACTTACCATCTACATGGAGTGAACTACTGCGTAAATTACTGCTGGCTCTGACTCCTGAAGCTAATGTGAAGTCCAATCCACAAGCGGCCATATAAGTGCAACCGACGACCTTAATTTTCTCAACAACATAATATTCTTTGTAGACCGACAACTCCAAATCGAAAAAACTCATGAAGGATGTTTACAAGATGTTAATATATATTTTGTCTTACCAGTTTGTCAAACTCTGTAATGATATCGTTAAGAATTCTTAGGCTGGGCAAATTCATTTGGAAATTTACAAGCATGGCAAACATAACTGAAACCATTTGATAATTTTCGTAATACAGCTCATGGTGAGCTATGGAATCAAGATACAGGTCGACTAAAGGAAGGAAAGAAAACACTTGTAAGCCAATTATTATGGATTAATATTAAGCAAACTTACCAACATGAGAAGGCAGAATGTTGTTAAGCAGAATTATGATGGATTGGTTTGTAACATCAGCTGCTTTTTGTTTTTTCTGCAAGTCTACGTTAAGCCTGTGGATAACACTAGTTTAATAAACATTTTCTTGAGTACAACTGTCATCCTTTTACTCACTTGTAGTTAAGCTTTGTGTTGAACTCCGTCTGACGTTCCTTTGCAGACATAGTGAGCAGCATCATGCAAACCCGAAAACAATGAGCTACTTCCGCTTGCAAAAACGGAGAAGTGGTGGCGCTGTGCCGGAAAATGAATGCGTACTGGAAGAACACGATCAGCAGGTAGGCCAAGGTTTCGCAACCACTGACTACTATCTTCAGTACGAACGGAATTCGTGCAAAGGTGTAGCTCATGCCGATTATCAAAGAAATCATGTTCGTAAATGCCCACGGATGGAAGCAGAAATCCCGTTTCATTTCATAGTGGAAAAGCTTGCTGTCAATAACACTCAGCTCATACTGGTCGCGGTCGCAGTTTATCTAAGGATTGGGAAAGATAAGTAACTCGTATATAAATAATGATTTCTTTGACAGAGGCTTCATGAGGTGTAAATTAATTGAACTGAGTTCTTGTAAGCATTTTAGGTTTAAGGCATTCTTACAGAAATTAATACCAAAGCCATTTCTTACCATTATTAAAGAGATCACCGAGACGTAGCATATAATGATCAGCAAGTAGGCGGTAATGCGCAGAGTCACACTGTACTGAAGCTTCTCGAACAGGTGGAACACCGTGCAGCTGAATTTGCCGTACACTTTGGATTCCCTGTGTCTATCCTTCCACCAACACACTTTCTTATACCAGGCGATACACAACATGGCAGTCAGCAAGAGAAATGTGAGTAGATCCACCACAATGCAGGCCTCGCAGACAAAGTTGTTGTCTACCACCTGCATGTAGATGAGACAGCAGCAAATTCCCCAGGCCAACAGCATCGAGGCCTTGAAAATGAAGTCGGGCTGCTGTAGGTAACTCCTTTCCAGAGAAGAGTCTTTAAACGCCACACAAAACGTGCCCAAATTGCGTTCGGCGTTGTCATCCTCGTTAACACCACGGCGACAGCAAAGCTTTCGAAAGCTGAGAACAGATTTGAATCAATGTTTTTTTTTAAATTGTAATGGATTAAGAAATAGGAAAATTACAATACCCCTTCATAAATCTATTTAAAACCGCTTTAAAGGGAAAAGTGATTAAAGTAAATTGAGAAAGTAAATACACGATTATTGTTATTAAATTTAAGGGCACAATATAAGAAATAATTTTTGATCAACTTATATAGCTTACTTGAAGCCACCGACTGGCATTTTTCGGAACTCCTCACGAAGCTCATCCGACATTGAGGAAGGAGCGGCCGTTTGTTCCCGTTGTATCTCGATATACGTGATATCAAGGTTCGATTCCGACAAGACGGTTTGAATGGAACCTCGGGATACAGTTCCAGTGATAAGATATGTGCTCATCGACTTCAGCAGGTTGTCCTTTCGAGCCATTTCAGTGCCCGGATATATCACATAGTCAGCAATATTCAAGTAGGCAAGAGTGCGCCCACTAACGTGGACCTGACCCGCCTTTCCTGTGGCCTCTAAACGACTGGCGATGTCAACATCAGCACCTTGAAATGTGAATAATACATAGGAATAGAATACGATTTCGTAACAGATTATGTGATAGTCGCACCCCAAATATCGAGCTGCAGCTTCGCTTCGCCGATCACACCTGCAATTAAAGAACCTGAGTGGACTCCTATGCGCATATCGATATCCAATCCGCTTTCCGTCCTGAAAACCCAAAGCACTTTTCAGTGATCTACTATATTTTGTTATAAGGTATGAAACATACCTCACCTCCTGGATGTTCGCAATCATTGATATGCCCAACGACACCGCCATCTTGGCGTGATCAGGATCTGGTGTCGTTAATCCTGCCACACAATAATAGCAGTCGCCTAGGAATTTAATACGCTGCACCTTGAAGTGGGAGGCTGCCATGTCGAATCTTCCGTAGAGGTCGTGCAGGACTCTCACCAGACTCTGAACCGTCAAGGTTGTGGTCAAGTGGGTGTAGTTGACCACGTCCGCGTACAGGATACTGACATCGGGATGAATCTGGATGGGCATAAAGGTGTCACTCTTACGCCGGCGACCCATGGAGAAGCGTTCGGGCGCATTTTCCGACTGCCTGATCTTGCTTTTGATGCTGTCCTGGATGGGCTTTGCGATCTGGGGCGGCAGGATGGTGTCCAGGAGCATCGATTCCTGAAGCAGGGCGTTCCGCAACCACACTTCCTCCTTGATGAACTGGTGGCGATCGAGGAAGGAGGCGCGCACCAAGATGTCGTTCATAATCCGGAAGAAGATGCCCATCATGTTGAAGCCCACATTGTGCAGTATATCAGCGGCTAGATTCTCGTAGCCGCTGATTTCGCGCTCAAACGAAGGGTGTTTGATCAAGTTGCGTACGAAGTAGCCCACGTAAATAAGGCTTACTGAGGTGGCCAACAGAGCAGCTCCCGTAATTGACGGAATTGGCAGAAACATGTAAATCATGCAAAGCACAAACACGTCAAATGCGGTATTTAGAGGCCAGTGGGTATTGTTTTTGTGATATTGGACATATGCTATGTCTGGAGAAAAACAGCACTCAGCATAGAGTATGCCGATAATACCAACATTATTTCTGAGACTCACCATTAAATGTCACGGCATAAGCCGCCAAAACTGAGGTGAAAACCATTACCCACCGGTGGCGCGTTACGAAACTTTCGAAGAAGTTGACACTTAATATTGAAGACACCATAACCAGATTAAAAGAAGCAAAAAATAAATTTATGGAGATTAAACTTGTATTCTGCGGAAAGAATATTTCTAAAAATTTTAATTTGTTAAACTGTTAAGTCTTACCTCGACACATAACCAATTTACAAACTCCATGCCCAGTGTCACCAGTATAAACAGGGGGTAGAATACGGTGAGAGAGCTTATCATCAGACGGATCTGATATCTCCTGTACTCCTCCTCCAAATTCAGCTCTTTGCATTTTGCCTATTTGTGGTTTATTAACACTTTGTAAGTGATAAATTCGACGAATTTCCTACCTCCAAGTAGCTTTGCTCCCAGACTCGCTCGTCGGAGTAGTCGAGATGGCACCGCCTAGGTTTCTTCAAGTATTCCCGTTTGTAGAATGTCTTACTGTTCATATTGAATAGATGTTTTTTATCGGTTGTATAGTCTTGAACGTCCGATGCTCACAAGGGCTGAGCCTGCTTTGCCTCAACATTTTTGTAAACCTTTGAATATTATTTTTCTATGGTTGCTAAATTGAAAGAAATTCGACATTTATATTAAACAAGGTATTGTAATCTTGGCAAGGTATTGTAATCTTGGCAAGGTATTGTAATGTGATTATTCCGTTGTAAATTCCAGCTTAAGTACTAGAAAAAATTATCGAAGCAGTCTACGCACGACCGCACTCCAGAACTCCTCTTAATACTACGAACCAGCTCGTGACCTTGCCCTTAACCTGACTTAGCACCTTTCAGATCCCAGCGATACAAATCCACAACACAATTGACTTGTCCGGCGTTCGGAGTCTCGACTTTGCGATCGTGATCCTGCTGAACCGTCCTTTTGCTTTGACTTCAATTGGCTTTCACACGCGTTGATACTCGTTTATATACTTATTTAAGTTATATGTATATGTAGTTTCATTTGACCTTCATTGACAAAACCGTCCTCCGTGGCTATGCCAACCTAATGGTTGGTTGGATGGCGTTACGCCCTCTTTTTATAACATGTAATTGGGTTCAAGGTCCAACGATGTCCCGTTAGTTCACGGCGCATTCTCTTTGTGCGAATCGAAAGTCCGTCAATTTACCGTTCGACATGAATCGCGATCTCTCCGCTCTGCGCCAGTCCAAGTTTCAAAATTTCCCGTTCTCCCTGGTTGACTTTGGCCTCTTCGGCATTCCAGTCTCCCTCGTTGTTGCTAAGCTCTACTCCCCTGCACCTCAAATTGTGGGGATTTTGAAACTCCTCACAACTCCACATCTGCGCTTCTCCCTGATATACTGATGATCCAGAAAGGACGATCATAAAGTGAACCGTGTTGTTCATTAGACGATAAAAAATGCCCACCTGGTTGAGGTTCGGAGAACCCTTCGGACAAAAAGTGGAAGGAGTAAATTTTATACACGAGAGCCTAAATGACTACTCCTTTGAAGTGAATTGGCAGGAACGTGCACACTTGTATAATATGAACGTGCCATAGAAAGTGCTCAGTAGCCAATTGTGGCCAAAATGGGGGAATATAAGGTCTTAGTAAATATTTAGACATTATCAGAAAATAAAATTAATACAATTATTACAATCAAAAGAACAATGCGGCAACTTGTGACAAGTGTCACAACGCAATCGACAATTTTACTGTCCTTTTTTATAAAAAAAGGGTATTATAATTTCAGTCAGAAGTTTGCAACGCAGTGAAGGAGACACTCAGACCCCATAAAGTATATATATTCTTGATCAGCATCACGATCTGAATCGAAATACGTCTGTCCGTCTGTCCGTCTGTCTGTTTCTATGTAAACTAGTCTCTCAGTTTTAAAGCTACCTACATAGCTGAAACTTTCCTGAAAGTTGTATAGTTATTGCACGCAATATATAAGTCGGAACGGCCGGATCGGCCGACTATATCGGATAGCTCCCCCACGAGAGAATGAAATAAAAAATTCTCACGACGTTGGTTTTGATCAGATCGACTTGATTTCTTCCATATGGCGTTTTCTAACCACTCTTGAATTTCGGATAAAATTTTATCAAAATCGGACAACTCTATCATATAGCTGCCATAAAAAGATCGAAAAAAATATATATAATGGGAAAAAAGTTGTAACATCCTTGTTTTTAATCCCACGAGCATAATAACCCTTAAGCAGGAAAAAAATTTCATTAAAATCAGACAAAGTTATCTTATACATAGCTGACATAAGAAAGATCGAAAAACTTATATAGAAATAACGGAAATAAAATTATAACATCATTGTTTTTTATCAGACAAGCATGATTTTAGGAATATAGAGCTTTGTAATGACTCTTGAATTACGAATTAAATTTCATCAAAATCGGACGACTATATCATATAGCCGTCATATATACATAGAAAAATCGTCAAAGCTTTGATGCTGTTTAGCCTTTATGTGTTTTGCTAGACATATTTGATGACTGCAATGGTAAATAAGCTTTTGTTCGCTGAAGCTAGCTTCCTTTCTTGTTTTTCGATATTTTATCTATCTCTCCTATGAGAGCTATTCAATAACGTCTTCCGATCCGATATACTGCAAAACTTTTGATAAGTAATTTCGAGGAACCTATAAAACTAGTTCGTATAAGAACAGACAGACTAAATACCCCGATTTTTATTACATTGGTCGGCCGCCCAAAATTTCAAGTTCTTTTGTAGAAAATATATATTTTAATGAACATTCAAGAAACTACTGACTCTCATCTTCCTCACTGGTAGGAGTTGCATATGGTTCCAGTGAAGACATTACTGAAAAACGTCTCGTTGAGGCTCGGTCGACGAGTCTCGCGGAAATGAACTTCAAGTTTTCATCGATTCCCACAAAGTAAGTGGGGATGTTCCCGCGACCCTTAACGAAGGTCAAGCCACGGTAAGTGCAGTGGATGTCGAACTCCTGGAGGACCTTGGCGGACTCCTCGGTAACCTGGATGTGACCTGGCAGACCGGTTGATTCCATTCGAGAGGCCATGTTGACCGGGTTCCCCCAGATGTCGTAATGAGGCTGCGAGGCACCCACTACTCCGGCCATTATCTCTCCGCTGGAAATCCCGATGCAGATCTCTCCACTCGCCAAATCCCGGTCGAAGTGGAAATCCGAGTAGGCCTTGTTGCACACCGACAGGGTTCGCATCAGGTCCAGGGCGAACGAGGTCATAATGAAGACCACCTCATCGTGGTTGGACTCGGTCTCTTTGTTATCAAGGGACGATCTCTGGTTTAGAACCCGTTCCACTGGAAAAAAATTTAATCAGGTATTGTTATTTAAATACTAATAAGATGTGTAATTCGTGAAAATATTTATGTAATATATATGTATATTATTATCTTCATAGTTTTCTAGGCACAAATTTTGTTCCGTGGAAAGATTTTAAATCTTATGATAGTCTTCAACTGAATGTATTTTAGCTGTACATTTAACAATGGCGTTCAGTCTTAATACTTACCATCTACATGGAGTGAACTACTGCGTAAATTACTGCTGGCTCTGACTCCTGAAGCTAATGTGAAGTCCAATCCACAAGCGGCCATATAAGTGCAACCGACGACCTTAATTTTCTCAACAACATAATATTCTTTGTAGACCGACAACTCCAAATCGAAAAAACTCATGAAGGATGTTTACAAGATGTTAATATATATTTTGTCTTACCAGTTTGTCAAACTCTGTAATGATATCGTTAAGAATTCTTAGGCTGGGCAAATTCATTTGGAAATTTACAAGCATGGCAAACATAACTGAAACCATTTGATAATTTTCGTAATACAGCTCATGGTGAGCTATGGAATCAAGATACAGGTCGACTAAAGGAAGGAAAGAAAACACTTGTAAGCCAATTATTATGGATTAATATTAAGCAAACTTACCAACATGAGAAGGCAGAATGTTGTTAAGCAGAATTATGATGGATTGGTTTGTAACATCAGCTGCTTTTTGTTTTTTCTGCAAGTCTACGTTAAGCCTGTGGATAACACTAGTTTAATAAACATTTTCTTGAGTACAACTGTCATCCTTTTACTCACTTGTAGTTAATTTTTGTGTTGAACTCCGTCTGACGTTCCTTTGCATACATAGTGAGCAGCATCATGCAAACCCGAAAACAATGAGCTACTTCCGCTTGCAAAAACGGAGAAGTGGTGGCGCTGTGCCGGAAAATGAATGCGTACTGGAAGAACACGATCAGCAGGTAGGCCAAGGTTTCGCAACCACTGACTACTATCTTCAGTACGAACGGAATTCGTGCAAAGGTGTAGCTCATGCCGATTATCAAAGAAATCATGTTCGTAAATGCCCACGGATGAAAGCAGAAATCCCGATTCATTTCATAGTGGAAAAGCTTGCTGTGAATAACACTCAGCTCAAACTGGTCGCGGTCGCAGTTTATCTAATTATTGGGAAAGATAAGTAACTTCGTATATAAATAATGATTTCTATGACAGAGGCTTCATGAGGTGTAAATTAATTGAACTGAGTTCTTGTAAGCATTTTAGGTTTAACAGAAATTAATACCAAAGCCACTTCTTACCATTATTAATGAGATCACCGAGACGTAGCATATAATGATCAGCAAGTAGGCGGTAATGCGCAGAGTCACACTGTACTGAAGCTTCTCGAACAGGTGGAACACCGTGCAGCTGAATTTGCCGTACACTTTGGATTCCCTGTGTCTATCCTTCCACCAACACACTTTCTTATACCAGGCGATACACAACATGGCAGTCAGCAAGAGAAATGTGAGTAGATCCACCACAATGCAGGCCTCGCAGACAAAGTTGTTGTCTACCACCTGCATGTAGATGAGACAGCAGCAAATTCCCCAGGCCAACAGCATCGAGGCCTTGAAAATGAAGTCGGGCTGCTGTAGGTAACTCCTTTCCAGAGAAGAGTCTTTAAACGCCACACAAAACGTGCCCAAATTGCGTTCGGCGTTGTCATCCTCGTTAACACCACGGCGACAGCAAAGCTTTCGAAAGCTGAGAACAGATTTGAATCAATGTTTTTTTTTAAATTGTAATGGATTAAGAAATAGGAAAATTACAATACCCCTTCATAAATCTATTTAAAACCGCTTTAAAGGGAAAAGTGATTAAAGTAAATTGAGAAAGTAAATACACGATTATTGTTATTAAATTTAAGGGCACAATATAAGAAATAATTTTTGATCAACTTATATAGCTTACTTGAAGCCACCGACTGGCATTTTTCGGAACTCCTCACGAAGCTCATCCGACATTGAGGAAGGAGCGGCCGTTTGTTCCCGTTGTATCTCGATATACGTGATATCAAGGTTCGATTCCGACAAGACGGTTTGAATGGAACCTCGGGATACAGTTCCAGTGATAAGATATGTGCTCATCGACTTCAGCAGGTTGTCCTTTCGAGCCATTTCAGTGCCCGGATATATCACATAGTCAGCAATATTCAAGTAGGCAAGAGTGCGCCCACTAACGTGGAC